GCTTCAGGGTTTGCTCTGGGCTTAGAGTGTGGGGAATGGGTTTTGAGCTGACTGAGTTTTTTGTTGCTCCCCTCTCTCCCTTGGCCCCCCTTCCCAGGCGTCACTCCCCCTGGTATCCAAGGCCCTCTCTGCTGTCTCTGCCCAGCACTCCTCCTCCTCAGCCACCGTCATCTGGGTTCCAGGTTGACTGTGTTTTTTGTTGCTCCCTTCTCTTCCTTGGCCCCACACTCCCAGGCGTCGCTCCCTCTGGTCGCCAAGGCCCTCTCTGCCGTCTCTGCCCAGCCCTCGTCCTCAGCCACGGTCATGTGGGGCATGAAGGACCGCTGGCCGTCCTTTGATGGGGTTGCCTCTATCCTTTCTCCCGTCCTCCCGTCTCTCCACTCCCTCCCAAACACCTCCCTCACTCCCTCTGGTCGCCAAGGCCGTCTCTGCGGTCTCAGCCCAGCCTTCCTGCTCCTCCACTGCCATGTGGGGGCATGAATGAAGGACGTCTGCTGCTGCCACTGGGCGTGGCTTGACAATGTCGCTTGAGCCTTGCCTTTTGAGGCGCCTCAAAAGTTGTCATGTGGGGGCATGAATGAAGGACGTCTGCTGCTGCCACTGGGCGTGGCTTGATAATGCCGCTTGAGCCTTGCCTCTTTCCCTCCCTCTTCCCCGCTGGTGTCACTCCCTCTGGTCGCCAAGGCCCTCTCTGCTGTCTCAGCCCAGCCCTCCTCCTCCTCCACCGTTATTTGGGGCATGAAGGACCGCTGGCAGTCGTTTGATGGGGTGCGGGCAGCGTGCAGAGAGGCAGGGGCCGTACTTGTTACTCTACACGAGGTGAGAACAGCGAAGATGAGGAGGCTTAGGTGGGGCTGACTTTTGAGTCGACTCAAAAGTCAGCGTGCAGAGCGGCAGGGGCCGTACTTGTTACTCTACACGAGGTGAGAACAGCGAAGATGAGGAGGCTTAGGTGGGGCTGACTTTTGAGTCGACTCAAAAGTCAGCGTGCAGAGCGGCAGGGGCCGTACTTGTTACTCTACACGAGGTGAGAACAGCGAAGATGAGGAGGCTTAGGTGGGGCTGACTTTTGAGTCGACTCAAAAGTCAGCGTGCAGAGCGGCAGGGGCCGTACTTGTTACTCTACACGAGGTGAGAACAGCGAAGATGAGGAGGCTTAGGTGGGGCTGGCTTTTGAGTCGACTCAAAAGTCAGCGTGCAGAGCGGCAGGGGCCGTACTTGTTACTCTAGACGAGGTGAGAACAGCGAAGATGAGGAGGCTTAGGTGGGGCTGACTTTTGAGTCGACTCAAAAGTCAGCGTGCAGAGCGGCAGGGGCCGTACTTGTTACTCTAGACGAGGTGAGAACAGCGAAGATGAGGAGGCTTAGGTGGGGCTGACTTTTGAGTCGACTCAAAAGTCAGCGTGCAGAGCGGCAGGGGCCGTACTTGTTACTCTAGACGAGGTGAGAACAGCGAAGATGAGGAGGCTTAGGTGGGGCTGACTTTTGAGTCGACTCAAAAGTCAGCGTGCAGAGCGGCAGGGGCCGTACTTGTTACTCTACACGAGGTGAGAACAGCGAAGATGAGGAGGCTTAGGTGGGGCTGACTTTTGAGTCGACTCAAAAGTCAGCGTGCAGAGCGGCAGGGGCCGTACTTGTTACTCTACACGAGGTGAGAACAGCGAAGATGAGGAGGCTTAGGTGGGGCTGGCTTTTGAGTCGACTCAAAAGTCAGCGTGCAGAGCGGCAGGGGCCGTACTTGTTACTCTAGACGAGGTGAGAACAGCGAAGATGAGGAGGCTTAGGTGGGGCTGACTTTTGAGTCGACTCAAAAGTCAGCGTGCAGAGCGGCAGGGGCCGTACTTGTTACTCTACACGAGGTGAGAACAGCGAAGATGAGGAGGCTTAGGTGGGGCTGACTTTTGAGTCGACTCAAAAGTCAGCGTGCAGAGCGGCAGGGGCCGTACTTGTTACTCTACACGAGGCGAGAACAGCGAAGATGAGGAGGCTTAGGTGGGGCTGACTTTTGAGTCGACTCAAAAGTCAGCGTGCAGAGCGGCAGGGGCCGTACTTGTTACTCTACACGAGGTGAGAACAGCGAAGATGAGGAGGCTTAGGTGGGGCTGACTTTTGAGTCGACTCAAAAGTCAGCGTGCAGAGCGGCAGGGGCCGTACTTGTTACTCTACACGAGGTGAGAACAGCGAAGATGAGGAGGCTTAGGTGGGGCTGACTTTTGAGTCGACTCAAAAGTCAGCGTGCAGAGCGGCAGGGGCCGTACTTGTTACTCTACACGAGGTGAGAACAGCGAAGATGAGGAGGCTTAGGTGGGGCTGACTTTTGAGTCGACTCAAAAGTCAGCGTGCAGAGCGGCAGGGGCCGTACTTGTTACTCTACACGAGGTGAGAACAGCGAAGATGAGGAGGCTTAGGTGGGGCTGACTTTTGAGTCGACTCAAAAGTCAGCGTGCAGAGCGGCAGGGGCCGTACTTGTTACTCTACACGAGGTGAGAACAGCGAAGATGAGGAGGCTTAGGTGGGGCTGACTTTTGAGTCGACTCAAAAGTCAGCGTGCAGAGCGGCAGGGGCCGTACTTGTTACTCTACACGAGGTGAGAACAGCGAAGATGAGGAGGCTTAGGTGGGGCTGACTTTTGAGTCGACTCAAAAGTCAGCGTGCAGAGCGGCAGGGGGCGTACTTGTTACTCTACACGAGGTGAGAACAGCGAAGATGAGGAGGCTTAGGTGGGGCTGGCTTTTGAGTCGACTCAAAAGTCAGCGTGCAGAGCGGCAGGGGCCGTACTTGTTACTCTACACGAGGTGAGAACAGCGAAGATGAGGAGGCTTAGGTGGGGCTGACTTTTGAGTCGACTCAAAAGTCAGCGTGCAGAGCGGCAGGGGCCGTACTTGTTACTCTACACGAGGTGAGAACAGCGAAGATGAGGAGGCTTAGGTGGGGCTGGCTTTTGAGTCGACTCAAAAGTCAGCGTGCAGAGCGGCAGGGGCCGTACTTGTTACTCTACACGAGGTGAGAACAGCGAAGATGAGGAGGCTTAGGTGGGGCTGACTTTTGAGTCGACTCAAAAGTCAGCGTGCAGAGCGGCAGGGGCCGTACTTGTTACTCTACACGAGGTGAGAACAGCGAAGATGAGGAGGCTTAGGTGGGGCTGACTTTTGAGTCGACTCAAAAGTCAGCGTGCAGAGCGGCAGGGGCCGTACTTGTTACTCTACACGAGGTGAGAACAGCGAAGATGAGGAGGCTTAGGTGGGGCTGACTTTTGAGTCGACTCAAAAGTCAGCGTGCAGAGCGGCAGGGGCCGTACTTGTTACTCTACACGAGGTGAGAACAGCGAAGATGAGGAGGCTTAGGTGGGGCTGACTTTTGAGTCGACTCAAAAGTCAGCGTGCAGAGCGGCAGGGGCCGTACTTGTTACTCTACACGAGGTGAGAACAGCGAAGATGAGGAGGCTTAGGTGGGGCTGACTTTTGAGTCGACTCAAAAGTCAGCGTGCAGAGCGGCAGGGGCCGTACTTGTTACTCTACACGAGGTGAGAACAGCGAAGATGAGGAGGCTTAGGTGGGGCTGGCTTTTGAGTCGACTCAAAAGTCAGCGTGCAGAGCGGCAGGGGCCGTACTTGTTACTCTACACGAGGTGAGAACAGCGAAGATGAGGAGGCTTAGGTGGGGCTGACTTTTGAGTCGACTCAAAAGTCAGCGTGCAGAGCGGCAGGGGCCGTACTTGTTACTCTACACGAGGTGAGAACAGCGAAGATGAGGAGGCTTAGGTGGGGCTGACTTTTGAGTCGACTCAAAAGTCAGCGTGCAGAGCGGCAGGGGCCGTACTTGTTACTCTACACGAGGTGAGAACAGCGAAGATGAGGAGGCTTAGGTGGGGCTGACTTTTGAGTCGACTCAAAAGTCAGCGTGCAGAGCGGCAGGGGCCGTACTTGTTACTCTACACGAGGTGAGAACAGCGAAGATGAGGAGGCTTAGGTGGGGCTGACTTTTGAGTCGACTCAAAAGTCAGCGTGCAGAGCGGCAGGGGCCGTACTTGTTACTCTACACGAGGTGAGAACAGCGAAGATGAGGAGGCTTAGGTGGGGCTGACTTTTGAGTCGACTCAAAAGTCAGCGTGCAGAGCGGCAGGGGCCGTACTTGTTACTCTACACGAGGTGAGAACAGCGAAGATGAGGAGGCTTAGGTGGGGCTGACTTTTGAGTCGACTCAAAAGTCAGCGTGCAGAGCGGCAGGGGCCGTACTTGTTACTCTACACGAGGTGAGAACAGCGAAGATGAGGAGGCTTAGGTGGGGCTGGCTTTTGAGTCGACTCAAAAGTCAGCGTGCAGAGCGGCAGGGGCCGTACTTGTTACTCTACACGAGGTGAGAACAGCGAAGATGAGGAGGCTTAGGTGGGGCTGGCTTTTGAGTCGACTCAAAAGTCAGCGTGCAGAGCGGCAGGGGCCGTACTTGTTACTCTACACGAGGTGAGAACAGCGAAGATGAGGAGGCTTAGGTGGGGCTGACTTTTGAGTCGACTCAAAAGTCAGCGTGCAGAGCGGCAGGGGCCGTACTTGTTACTCTACACGAGGTGAGAACAGCGAAGATGAGGCTTAGGTGTGGCTCCGTGTGCCCAGCCAGGCGTCACTCCCCCTGGTCGCCAAGGCCCTCTCTGCAGTCTCAGCCCATCCCTCCTCCTCCTCTTATACTGTCATGTGGGGCATGAAGGACCGCTGGCAGTCTTCTGACGGGGTTCGAGAAGCGTGCAGGGCAGCAGTAGCTGTGACTTTTGAGTCGACTCAAAAGCCACCTTGAGAAGTCTGCAGGGCAGCAGTAGCTGTGACTTTTGAGTCGACTCAAAAGTCACCTCGAGAAGCCTGCAGGGCAGCAGTAGCTGTGACTTCTGAGTCGACTCAAAAGTCACCTCGAGAAGCGTGCAGGGCAGCAGTAGCTGTGGTTGTGACATTAGACGAGGTGACTATAGAGGAAACGTTACTTCTCTCCTCCTCAGCCACGATCATTTGGGGAATGAAGGACCGCTGGCAGTCGTTTGATGGGGTCAGGGAGGTGTGCCGGGCAGCAGGAGGTGTGCCGGGCAGCAGGAGGTGTGCCGGGCAGCAGAAGGTGTGCCGGGAAGCAGAAGGTGTGCCGGACCGCAGGGGCTGTTCTCGTGACTCTGGACATGGTGAGTATTGACAGAGAAATTGGGTTGTGAGGTGGTTCCACTGTCATGTGGGGCATGAAGGACCACTGGCAGTCCTTGGATGGGGTTCAAGACGCATGGAGGGCAGCAGCAGGTGTGCTTGTGACACTGGACGAGGTGAGTGTAGGCAGAGGAAACAGGTTTTGAGGTGTCTCAACTCAACTGTCTTGTGGGGCATGAAGAGCTGCTGGCAGTCCTTCGATGAGGTCCGAGACGCTTTTAGGGCAGCAGGGGCTGTTCTTGTGACTCTAGATGAGGTGATTGTAGAGAAAATGAGGACCAGAAGTTTTCTGATGTGCTTTTCAGGTTGCAAAGGCATCCCAACATGCCGACACCAACATGCCGGCATCCCATCATGCTGTCCCAACATGTCTACTGCCGACTACACCCGACTCATTGCGCACCTGATTTCTTTCTTCCAGCTCAACTTTATTTTCCTTTCCGTCGTCTTGTTGTTTGCTTGTTTTATTCCTTGCATGGATGACTTTTCGAGCAGGTGGGGCATCATGCACAGGAAGATTATGGAGAGGAGGTGGGGCGAGTAATTCGAAACATTCTTCGCCGCACTACATAGATTTCTATTGCACCAGTATTATAATACATGAGTGAAAAACTTGTCGCATTTCACAGTTCACTTGAGTCAATGAACTCTCTCATACCGCGTATCTTATCCATTCACTTCGCTCCGACAACGGAATGCCCTAAACCGGAACTCGAAGGGCCTGTTTGACAAACTATCTCCTTTGTGGGCTTGTCTCTGGCTGACACAGCCATTACCACACCGTGTCAAGTCGCTTCTCATGTATCAAGCCATTTGTCGTGACCACTGCCCGCAAAGGACGTCTTGAGGCGGCTTTCCATGGAGTTGAGTGACCGAGCTATCTTCTGTACTAGCTCATAAAAAGCGAGCAGGTGCCTTTATGCAAACCCCAATCAGTAACCGACCAGGGATGCGACAGTTTTCCGTTTTCCGCGTGTGCCTTTGTCGGTTACCATCTCGGGAAATAGAGCTGTTGTGAGAGACTCGCGAAACTAAAAAATCGTCCATATGCGGTATGTCATTTTCGTTGACGCTGTCGGATTTTTTGCCTGGTCCTTATTATATTTCCCCGCTGACCGCTTACTACGATTTTCAGCTTTGCAAGACAAGCGGGAACGACATGAGTCGTGGTGTCCGCTAGAGCTGCTTGGGACGGGACGGGAGGGACAGGCTCCATACCTGATTGACATCTTACATACCAACGCCTAACCCTTTTAAACCGTTCTGTCAAAAGAATACACCGAACTGAAACGATCAGTTCTCTGGTACTTGCTGGGACAACCTGCCGCCGTCCTGTATTCCCAAGGCATTTCTGTCAATCAGTCTTCTTTGTCTGTCATAGGTAGACAGACATAGAGACTAGAGTCCAGCTAACAGTCTAGGGACATCGCGATTTCTTAGCCGGACCTCCCTGACTGGTCACCCTGCACGGACAAGACCTAGAGTCCTTTCTGGTCCATGTCCAGTTCTTTAAACAAACTCTGAACGCGTCCTGGTAGCACAGCTTTCTGGTCGCTCTGTGGTGATAGCAACTTTCCTGATATATCATGGCTTCTAGGAATCGTGCAGCTAACGGTGAACCAGGCCAGGCGGGCACGGAAGTCGATTGGACGACGATTGTACGATCCGAACCTCCGTTCGTTCGGTGGATTAAAGAGCATCACGCTGCCTCGTTAACCCGCTGCGTCGCCGACGAAAACGACGAAATCGAGGACGACGACTTCGGCGACGACTACCGCGACGACTTTAGCGACGACGTCGGCGACGGCGACGACGATGACGAGAGCGACGACGATGGCGAAAGCGACGCCGAAACCGACGACGGCGAGTCGGACGACTCGTACGATATCGACGACTACCACCTCGGAGGGCGGTTCGGAAGGCCGTATGACTCAACAGAAGACTTGTTTCAAGACAAAGAAACGGATCAAGACAAAGAAACGGATCGAGACAGAGAAACGGGTCGAGACAGAGAAACGGATCAAGAGAGGGAGACGGATCGAGAGAGGGAAACGGATAGAGAAAGGGAAACGGATAGAGACAGAGAAACGGATCGAGAGAGGGAAACGGATAGAGAGAGGGAAACGGATCGAGACAGAGAAACGGATCGAGATAGGGAAACGGATAGAGAGAGGGGAATGGATAGAGAGAGGGAAACGGATCGAGACAGAGAAACGGATCGAGAGAGGGAAACGGATAGAGAGAGGGAAACGGATGCAGAGGCCGAAACGGGTCGCATGGAGGAACCGGGTCGCGTGGGGGAACTGGGTGATCTCGAGGTCCCTTGGTACGAACTCCGGGGATGCGAGAATGAAGACGAGATAATGGCGGAGCTCGCGGCGCGGAGGTCCCTGTGGAGCGACGCGGAGCTGATGGAGCTCGCAGCGGCTGTCGTTTTCTGCCGGCGCAGCGAGGAGGCGACGCGACGGAGCATTGGGCAAGATTACTGGCGGCAGGTGCGGCGCGGGATCCGGCAGGGTCAAACCCGTTCCAAGAGCATTCGTTATAAGTGGCAGCAAGTTCTGAAAACATTGTAAACAAACACTTCGTATTTTTTTAAGAATAATTCGTTGTCGCGTGTAATGGCGGCAGGAGTGGCGCGTGATCCGGCGCAGGAACCCCGAATGGCGACGCATTCTGGCGCTTCTGCCCAGCCCTCCTCTGCTCCTTATCCACTGTCATAGTGCGGTTTCATGTCACTGCCATCTTTCATCTGCTCTCTGTGCTCCATTCACAGGTGTGGCGCGTGATTCGACGTGCGAACCCCGAGTGGCGGCGCGTCCCGACGGCGATGGCGAAGCAGTGGGAGCGCATGAAAACGCGCTATGACCAGGAGCGGCGGAAGCAGAAGCGGCGGAGGAAGCGGGGGGGGACGGCGGGGGGTTCAGTTGAGCGGCGGCAGGGAGGGGCTACTAACGCGGATGAGCAGCCTAATAACGAGTCAGGGGGGAACGCAGGGGCGCGGGCGAAAGTGAGGGGAAGGCCCAAGGGGGGCCGGAAGGATAGGGGGAGCAGGAGAGAACCCGCATGGTTTGAGTACATTCGATTGTTGAACGGAACTGAGCTGCAGGCTAGGAAATACGTGGCAGCAAAAATGGCTCGAAGAGTAGCTGGAGCTTATGCTGTTGCTTCTGCTGCTACGGGGTTTACGGCAAGGAAGCAGCCGGCTGAAATGCCGGCTTATGCGTTTCCTGATAGCATTGGTTCAGGGTGGGAAGAGACAGGCCGGCAGCAGCAGCAGCAGCAGGAGCCACAGGATCATGAGCAGCAGCAGCAACAGCTGGGAATTCACGGACCCTTACCATTACCATTACCATCACCATTACCATCACCATTACCATCATTCCCGTTCCCATTCCCATCTCTATCCACTGTCTCTCCCTTTGCACCTGCTGAGAGGCAGTGGCAACCCTCTGGCTCGAGGCAACCCTCCGACTCGAGGCAACCCTCTGACAACTACTTGCAAAGCCTTCGCAGCAAAGTCACTCAAGTTCCCAAAGCCACAGGTCCCGGTGCGTCTACACTTCCTGACTCGATGCAAAGCCATGGTGGGTCATCAGATTCTGACTTAATCCGAAACAACGGTGGATACGACGGCAACCTGCTGCGGCTGCCTGGGAATGGGGTTACGCTTACTACAGGTGCTACAGCCCCCGTGGCTGGTATAGCCCATACAGCCTCCCTGCCCGCTACAGCCCCCCTGCCTGCTACAAAATTTTACCCGACGAGTTATCAGCCTGCATCAGCCCACAGAGAAGGCGGCGCAGCAGCAGCAGCACCATGTGATTTGACTTCTCGGGGGGTTTTACTGCGAGGAAAGGGTCGTAGAAGGGAGCAGCAAGAGCGGAACGAGAGAAGATTTGCAAGGAGAGGAATGGAGAGGTCTACAGGACGTGGAAAGGACTCGAATGCAGGGGTTTTGGGTGAGAGGGGGGGCGAGAAGTTGGGCGACAGATTGACTGCAGCCATGGGTGCTGCTGTGAGAAATGCATGCGTTCAGTATGATGAGCTCTCTCGGGAGTTGCTGCAGGATGCTTACTCGCGGTTTGAGGAGCTTTCACAGCGACTGGCAGAGGATGCTAGTGCTCAGTTTGAGGAGATTGCGAGAGAGCTAATGGAGGAGACTGCAGCGGCTTGCCGAGACAGCAAAAGGCGCAAGAGGAGGTAAATACCGTAATCACCCGGATATAAGACCCCCCCCAGTTGTAGACCCCCGGGTCTATAATACGGACGTGGGTCTTATATTTGGGTATGTTTTTGTTATACCCCCTTTTTGGCTGAAAACATTATAAGACCCCCCACCTTCACGGTGAACGTGTGATTTTATAACATAATAGAGTCGTTTTGTGAAGGAGAACATAATGTTTCCCCTTCGGATGAAGTCACGTGGGCATCGCACCGTCAATGTTGTGCATTCTTTTGTTTTTTTCCGCCATTACGAGGCTCATGAATCAAAGTTTGACCAGTTGCGAGGGTGATGCCACCTGGCAAATGCCTGACTGTGCGATTCTCATGGTCTTGCTTTGAGATTCGTTTGACTTGATTGGCTATGTGGTTGTCCAATCAGAGAGCAAATCTGGATTTCACATTCACAAACAGTCGTCACAAAAACATCCTCAACGTACCGCTTTTCCGTAATCTAAAAACGAATCAAACACCAACATGAGCTTTGCATTCAAATACAAGTGAAAAAAACATGTTCATTTGTAAAGACCCGGGTCTTATATTACTATGACAATATGAGAAGACCCCCCACCATTTTTTCCCGTAGTTTTCATAAGACCCTAGGGTCTTATATCCGGGTGATTACGGTAGTACATGTAAATAGTACAGGTCAAACTAGGAGCGAGGAGCTCACTTGGAACTCGGGAGTTGCTAGGATGCCTTTTTTTTGCGATTTGAGGAGCTGTCGCTACAATTGGCATAATAGGCTTCTGCTCGGGTTGAGGAGATTGTGAAAGAGGTTTATTGAGGAGATTGTTAGACTAGTTGAGCTTGTAAAAGGTGGAAAAGGAGGTGAATTGCATGGAAGCAACTTGGTGGTGCCAAAACAACAGACTTGCACCACTATGTTTCATTCTCAGCCGGGGTTTAGGGTTTATTCCCGAACATTTTGCAATTTGCTGCAGCTCCAGTAAACTAGTGGTGTTGATCGTGGTGAAGAACGTTGTTTCTCAGGGTTCAAAACTGTTCTGTAAGGTGCATAAGGGCGCATTCCTATCCTCGTATCAAGAGAACCTCATATCAAGAATGTACTTTTTGCCTGGTAAAACTAGCGAGAGGTTTGAGGTTTAGGGGAATTTCCAGTGGGAGCTTGATATGAGGTTCTCTTGATACGAGGATAGGAATACGCTCTAAGCATTCGGTATGAGTATAGTGCGATTGCGGTTCGATCCGGGCGATCAACCCGACACTTGAACCTCGTTGTCAACTCTAGACCGGGTCCTGCGAACAACCCTGATGTTGGTTGGATCCACAGCAATGCGCGGCAAGAAGTTCTTTTGGACAAGGGAAGCCTGGCAGACTGACAAACCCTAAACCCGATTCTGTAACCGTCTACGCTTCCGTAGGTACATTTGGTGCCTTCGCCAGCCACCGCCTAGGTTTCCAGCACCAATGTTAAGGGGTGATCAAAGTACTGCACCAGCTCGACGTCGAGGAACGTCGGTGAATGTCAACCCTCGGATCAATGGCTCCAACCGTCAGGATTCACCGACATCCCTCGACGTCGAACTCTGATTACCCCTTTAGGGCGCGTGATGTTAAGTTGTAATGTGTTATATGTTGGTAGGCTGTAGTGGGGTAGCCAATATAGGGTACAACCCCAACTAGGGTTAGCTACTTGTACCCAATTGTCTCTTTCAATGCACCATTCTCACGCTAGTATTCTGATATGGTATTCAGAGCAGGTGGTCCCTAGGACCATCCGATCGTTTTTTTTTTAGGGCCCACCACCGCACGCTGCGGTTACCGCGTTACCCCCGCGCCCTACCCTCGTAGCGCCCTCGTTGCGCCCTAGCGCCCTCGTAGCGCCCTTGTAGCGCCCTCGTGCGCCCTGCCGACCGGCGTCCTGCCAGCCCAGAGCCCCGCGCGCCTCCCCTGCTTTGCCCGTCGCGCCGCCCGCTCTGCCCCGCGCTGCCCGTCGCGCTGCCTCGCAGCCCCGCGCACCGCCCGCTGTGCCCCGAGCCGCCCGTCGATCTGCTGCGCAGCCCCGCGACCCGCCCGCCCTGCCCCGCGCTGCTCGTCGCTCGGCTCTGCAGCCCCGCGCGCCGCCCGCTCTGCCCCGCGCAGCCCGTCGAGCTGCCTTGCAGCCCCGCGCGCCGCCCGCTGTGCCCCGCGCCGTCCGTCGCGCTGCCCGCCTGCACGCCGCGCTGCCCGCTTGCGGAGTCGCCCGCCTGTCGCGCTGCCCGCCTGCAGCGCCGCCTGCCTGCCGCGCTGCCCACTTGCAGAGCCGCCCGTCCGCCGCGCTGCCCGCTTGCAGCGCCGCCTGCTGCTCCCTGCCCGTGCGCAATTGCCCGCCCCTGCTGTGGTAGCTTGCGTTGCTCTGCCGTACTGTCGCTATGGCTTCCATCCGCGTGCTTTCGTTCGATGCTGAGGGCCGCCCTGTGCAGTTCACCACTTGGCTAGATGACCTGCAGCTGTTTCTCCTGAGCGATAGCAAGGAGCATGTGTCGCTCTATGATTACGCGTCTGGTGCTGCGCCTGCCCCTCCTACCACAGCAGAGCTTAGTGTTCGTTCCCACTGGCAGACTCGTGACGCAGCTGCTCGCCTAGCCATTCGCAGTCACCTGCCGTTAGCTGAGCTCGAGCATTTTGGCGATTGCAAAACCGCTAAGGCCCTGTACGACGCTGTCGTTGCCCGCTATTCCTCACCTGCCACAGCCGAGCTTAGCCGCCTTATGCTGCCTTACCTGTTCCCTGAGCTGTCCACCTTTGCTACAGTCGCCGATCTTATCACCCACCTTCGCACTAGTGACGCTCGCCTGCGTGCCGCCCTTCCCACCGAGTTCTGCGCTAAGAACCCCCCTCCACTGTACTGGACACTCCACTTCATAGTCACCCGTCTCCCTGACACCCTTAGCTCAGTGCGCGACTATTTCCTTGCTCGCTGTCCCACTGAGCTCACTGTCGCCCTCCTAGAGGAGAAACTGCTAGCAGCCGAGAAGAGCATTGTAGCTGTAGGTGCTGCTCGTGGCGCTCCTCGCACCCCCATCTTTGAGGGGTGTTCTCCCTCTCCCCTCGCTCCCTCCTACGCTACTGCTGCTGCTGTTGACTTCCTTGGTGCTGAGTCTGCTGGCGCTGCTTCTGCTCCTGGTGGGAGGCGCCGCACCGGCAAGGGCAAGGGGGGCAAGGGTGGCGGGGGTGGCGCTGGGGGGGGAGGAGGTGGGGGAGGTGGGGGGGGAGGCGGTGCTGGAGGGAGCGGTGGCGGGAGTGCTGGTGGGAGTGGGGTCGGCAGCGGAGGCGGGGGCGGCGGAGGGAGTGGTGGTGGCGGCGGCGGTGGCGGCGGTGGCGGCGGTGGCGGTCGGAGGTCGGAGTGGAGGCACTGGCTCGGGCCAGAGCTCCCACCAGCAGCAGCGTCCCCAGACGACCCAGCAGCTTCGTGAGTGGCTTGCTCAGCGTGGGACGTCGGGGGGCAGTGGCCGCTGTTCCTATGTCATTCGCACAGGTGACCGCAAGGGACAGACGTGTGGGAGGTTCCACACCCCGTACCGCTGCTTCTCCCGCCTTGACGACGCTTGGCGTGAGGAGATCGGCGAGGATGTTGAGCGCCCCCGCTGGGCGGAGCTGATGAGGGCTGGTGTTGATATCTTTGCTCTTGACTATGATGCTATTATTGCTGCCATGTATGCATTGACTGTTAGTGCCGAGGGAGACTGTTACTTGTGTGTGCCACCTGACCCAGGTATAGAGCCCGCTGCCCTAGGTACTAGTGAGTCTGCTCTCTCTGGTACGGTCCCCTCTGTGGCTGCTCCCTTCAGTACTGTCCCTGCTGCTTGTGAGTCTGCTCTCTCAGGTACAGCACCCACAGAGACTGCTCTCTCAGGTACTGCACCGGCTGAGGCCTGTCACACCTTCACCCTTGACTCAGGTGCTTCCCGCTGTTTCTTTCGTGACAGTACTGAGCTCACACCGCTTCCTGCACCGGTCCCAGTCTCCTTGGCTGACCCCTCGGGGGGCCCAGTCCTGGCACGGTCCACCACTGTGCTCCCGTGTCCGGCGGTTCCGTCTGGCTCGTTGTCGGGTTTCCACCTCCCCTCGTTCTCGACGAACCTGGTGAGCAACGCTGTCATCCAGGATCAGTGGGTTGACACCTTTACCCCTGGAGGACAGCGTGTGGCGATCCTCACGTGCTCCAGGACCGGCCGTCACCTGGCTACGTTTACCCGTCAGCCGGGGTCGAGTCTCTACACACTGACCATATTGTCTCCTCAGGTCGCTGCTGTCGGTCAGGTGTCCGCGTCAGGTCTGGTAGCCCACGCCTGTGAGTGTCGTTCCCTGTCGCACCAGACTCTTCTCTGGCACCACCGCCTGGGTCACCCCTCCTTGCCACGCCTCCGTGGCATGCACCGTCGCCACCTTGTGTCTGGTCTTCCCAGGTCCCTCCCTCCCCTCCCTGCCTCGCCTGCACCGCCTTGCCTTCCTTGCGTCGAGGGGCGGCAGCGCGCCGCTCCTCACTCCTCCTCGTTCCCCCCGACAGAGGCTCCTCTGCAGACCCTCCACCTGGACGTGTGGGGCCCAGCCCGCGTTCGTGGCCAGGGCGGTGAGCGGTACTTTTTGCTGGTTGTCGACGACTACTCGCGCTACACCACGGTCTTCCCCTTGCGCACCAAGGGTGAGGTCCCTGCTGTTCTGATCCCTTGGATCCGCACAGTTCGTCTCCAGCTCCGCCGCCGTTTCCGGACAGATCTTCCTGTCCTGCGTCTGCACTCTGACAGAGGTGGTGAGTTCTCCTCCGACCTCTTGAGGACCTTCTGTCAGGCGGAGGGCATCGAGCAGACCTTCACGCTTCCGGACTCCCCACAGCAGAATGGGGTTGCTGAGCGCCGCATTGGCCTGGTCATGGAGGTCGCTCGTACCTCCTTGGTCCATGCGGCGGCTCCCCATTTTCTGTGGCCGTTTGCTGTCCGGTACGCCGCGCATCAGCTCAACCTCTGGCCCCGTGTCTCC